GTGGTCCGGTTGCGGCGCGGAGCGACTCCGATTGGTGGTCGTTGACGGGGTGCGCATCGCCGCCTGTAATAGCTTGCGAACAGGTCCGTGGTGTGTGCGCGATCCCGTCCTCCGCGTTGCGCAGCAGGGTGTGCCGGAGGCGACGAGGACGACAACAGGCCCAAAAATACAAAGGTGTCGACAATTAGAATAGCAAAAAAAAAAAAAAAGCAAAAAAATAGACTGACCACCAGGAAAAAAGTTGCGCGACGTAACGCTGGTGACGGGCGTGGACGGAGAACCGCCGTTGGTTTTCTCTGTCGCGCAGCCGGAAGGCTGTGCAGAGCCGCGATTGCACGTCTTGTCACATGTGTCTTTTGGCCCGAGGAATGCGATTGAGTATTTTTTTTTTTCTTCATATAATTTTATTTCACGTTTATGTTTTTTCTTTTGGTTGCTTTTTTTTTATTTTTTTTTATGCCTGCGACAAGTGCCGACGGCGCCTCTGTTCGTGGGTTGTCACACTGCGGGATGGCCGGGGCATAGTTGGGGGTTCCATTCGGCGGTCCGAGCAGGCGGAGACCCTTTTTTTTTTTTTCCATCATGTGTGCACCTGCACCCCCGGATGTTTTTTTTTTTTTTGCACCGCCGATGTTTCCACCCCCGAGCCCCCTTCTATCTCTCTATCTTTCTGCGGAAAGGTCCCGTGCCGCAACCGGATGTTTTTTTTTTTTGGGGAGGCGCGGTGCTGCGACGGTGCGTTGTTTTTTTTTTTTTTCCCTTGTTCCCCTTCCCTGCCCACCTTGAGGCCTATTGTGCCACCGGTGCCGTTTAGTTTGGGTTGTTTACCGCAGGTACCTTTTTGTACAAGGCCTGCACTTGCTTTGCCTAGGCTGTGCCTCTGTTTTTTTTATTTTGCGTACCGGTACTTACTTCTCTTCACACCACTTTCACCTCATTCTTGTTGACGCTCCTTGGGTTTTTTCGTTGTCTTCATCCACAGCGATGCCGTTTTCACCATCTCCTTAGTCATTCGTGTTGCCATCCTCACGACTCGTGCTTGTCCTCTTCCCTCGATCTATTGATGTTCTTCGAGGCTTTGAACGCCTGTGAGAGGCCGGACACGCAGAGAGAGAGAGAGAGAGAGAGAGAGAGAGAGAGAGAGAGAGAGAGAGAGAGAAGGGTTTGCTCATCTTTTTGGAGACAGAGAGTGATTGCTTGCAGCTGCAGTGCTTTTAGAAAAGGTACAGAACCCCTTACCTTTTTTTCCCCGAACCCTCCCTCCATCTTCTTCTTTTTTCTTCATCTCCTTCTTCTTCTTCTTCTTCCCCTTTCTTCTTTTATTTCTTTCTTCTTCTTTTTTCTTTATTTCTTTCTTTCTTTCTTTCTTTCTTTCTTTCTTTCTTTCTTTCTTTCTCTCTTCTTTTGTTCTGCCATTTTTTTGGTCATTTGTTCGCTATTTGTGGCTATTTTTTCGCTATTTTTTTGGTTAAAATTTCCCTACTTTTTCG